CAGAGACCCTGAGCCTCCAACAGGGACCTGCCAACCATCCTTCACCCAGGAGCCTTATCCTCAGGCTGTCCCTGTGTCTTAAGGTGTCTGTCTCACCTCTTGGGTCATTTCCTGCCTTCCAGGCAGAAGGATGGGGAACCACAAAGGGCGAATGATATGAGCCGGCTGAGTGGTCTCTCTGTCACAATAACTTTCCTCCAAGCGGCAGCTGGCAACTTTCTCTTATGTCTCATTGGCCAGCAGGGGGTCACGTGATCACCCTTAATGGCAAGATTGGATGGGAATGAAGTTTTCTAGCCGCTCATTGCAACCCTGAGTGACCTTGGGATTTCATTGGTCAAGAAGAAGGGGAGAGTGTATAATTTGGAGGAATGGTTGCTACTTGGTTAATTCTTTCTTGAGATTTCCAGAATAAAGGTTTGCTGAATGTGAAGGTGTCTGCACTAAGGAGTGCTGGGGAAAGGAGTGGGGGGTGGGAAGGGTGAACAGGGGGAGTTTCTAGAGCAAATGTGTTGTTTTCAGGGTGCCCCGTGAAGGGGAACTGTGTTCCTTTATTCCTTGCTGAGAACCTCAAACTTTGGGAAGTAAGAGAAGCCCTGGGGCAGTCAGCTAGACTCACTTCTCCCATCCTGTGTGGGGACCGGAGTCTCCAGGGTTGGCACGCCCTGTACAGGGGCTTGGGGTAGGGCTGCAGCCAAGAACTGACAAGAACAAGAGGCCAGGGGTCACTCTGATACAGGTGGTCCTGGCTCACCTTGTAGGTAGAATTATGTCCCTCTCAAAGGTCTGTTCCAGTCCTGACCCCCAAGACCAGAAATAGGGTCATGGCAAATATAATCAAGTTTAGATGAGGTCATTCTGAATTGGATGGCCTAGCGTAATGCCTAGTGTCCTTCTAAGAGGGACATTTGGACATAGACATGGAAGGCACAGGCAAGAAGGCCACATGATGACAGGCATGGGCTGCAGTGAAGCACTCACAAGCCGAGGGAGGCCCAGGGGTCAGGAGACAGCCTGGAGCAGATTTTCCTTCTGAGCTTCAGAAGGAACCCACCCGCTGACACCTGGGTCTTCAACTGCTGGCCTCTGCACTGGGATGGAATAAGCTCCTTTTGTTGAGCCACTTGGTGTGAGGCCATCAATTATGGTAGCCCTGGGAGACATGTCCAGCTCCTGCCTGGGACAACCCACAGGTCAGGGGCCACAGGCAACTGGTGCTCTACCCACGAGCCCTGATCACTTCACTGAAAAGGGACACAGAGGTGGTCTTTCACCCTACACAGGACCCAATGCCAGGCCCACAGACTGCACAGACCTCCCCTGAGGGCTGAGCCCTTCCCAGCTCTCCCTTCAGGAGCCCTTCAGCTCCCACGTTGTTCCCATCAGCACCACCTCCAGAGCCTGCTGGCAAAGCCAGACACAGTCGAAGGGGGCCCCAGTTAAAAGCTTTGTAAGAATTTCGTAAGAATGCAAGATTGCAAGTCCAAAACTACCTCTAGGGCCTTGGAGCAGATGGGTTCAGAGAGAGGCCCTCAGGTGGAAGTTTCTGGATGCAAGACAGCTCAATGTCCTTGTTCTGCACAGGTGCAATCAAGGCAGCTTCCCAGCCCTCCTGCTGGCAGACCCCAGTCCCCTGCCTTAGGGGGCCTTCTGCATTGAGGTGGCTATACTGTTATGTCCCTTTCTTGGGAGGGCACTGAGGGAGCCAGAGTGCTGACAGGGCTGGGGAGACAGAGCCCAGGGTTGCTGGCTTTCTGAGGGGTAGGAAACCTGGCTTCAACACTTAACAGCTGTGTGACTCAGTGTTCCCATCTGCCAAATGGGAGTACTGGTCAGAGAGAGTCCAGAGGTGGAGACTCTAGCGTTAGCCTAACATCTGTAGATGCGAACTCTGTGTTCACTTCTTCTACTTCCCTGCCAGAGAGGGAGCAAGAACAGACAGCCTGGATGTTGAGATTGGGGTCACCAGTCACAAATGCGACAGAGTCCCCAAGGATTGACTCACCTGGGCCCAGGATTCCTTTCTTCCCTGGTTGGCAGGCAGGGCGGCCAGGTTTTCCCTGCTGAGAAATGAAAACTTCAGATCTCTTCAGATTGACAGAGTTTCTCACTCATGCAGAAAATGAGACATGATATCAAAACCTCATGGGGTATTAGGCGGCCTTTATGGGCCTGTCAAATCCCATCTCGAGGGCGGAACTTCCTTTACCTGATCTCTCGAAGAATGTTCTGGGATCTGCTTCCTGAGCCCTGGCCGGCTTCTCCTGGTTACAGTAACAATCCCCTGTCTCTGGGGCTGCTGAGCATGGAGGGCATCCAGTGGCAGAGCTCACCTGTTGCTATGTTACCAATGGACATACAAACCCCTCTGAGGTTGGATACGTGGGAAGCGTCCCCTGCTACTGAGTGGGGCCCTGTCCTCCTGCTCTGGGGCACAGCCCTCAAACACAGCTCCTGTAGACAAATGTGGAGATTAGGGCGCATCCTGGCCTGGACTTCATGGCTCCTCCCTGTGGAACTTCGAGGTCCTTGTGCCCCACTCCCCCAGGACACACTGCATTGGGCCAGCACAGCCATAGTTGATGGTTCCCCTTAGAGTCCCAGAGCCTTACCAACAGGAGTGCTGAATCCGGCCACATGATTGAATAAACAGCCTCCTTCATGGAAGGGATTTCCCGGAATGCCTCCCTGGAATGGGATCTGACTGGCTTTATCTTCTTTATATAGCACTTGTTCAAGAATGAGGACTTTAAGATCTGAAAAATGTTCAACAAGAAGGTGTCCACACCAATGGCATCAGGGTTGCTGCGAGGGGAGTGTTTTCTGACACACAAAGGGGACACGGGTAGCTGTGGCCTGGGAAAGCACTCTAACATGTTGGCATAAACAATGTTAAGACAGGAGGCCTCAGGGTGCAGACTGGATGGGCACTGCTGCTGTGCACCCTCCCTCTCAGCAGCAAGAAGGACCTGTCACTATTATCCCTGCCACCAGGGCTCACTCAGCTACATCCAGGAGCTGTGCCAGGTGTTAGGAACACTAGCTCCTCACATGTGTGGCTTTTGATTCTTGTACAATATTTTCATCCCCATTTTATAGATAAAGAAACAAAGCTCAGAGAAGCTGTGTAACTTGCCAAGGACACAACTTGCAATGGGCGGAGCCAGAATTTGCACTCAGGACCTGACTCCAAGACCAACTTGACAGAGGCTTTAGGCTGGCAGCTTCCCAGGGTTCCTGGAACGTGAATGGCTCACAGATGACGCATCCACATTCAAAAATATATGGATATGTATAAGTTGTGAAATATGGCTTACACATAGAAAAGTACACAAGCTCACAGATGAATGAGATGTTGTACAGTAAACGCCCATTAACTTCCACTTAGGTTGAGAGACTGAGTATCGTCAGCACCCAAGAAGCCCACCCCAGTCACCACCAGAGTCACTAATCTGATTCTTAGAGAACACTTTCCACACTCCTTTTTCTTGTTTGTTTGTCACTTTAGCAGTTATCCTCAAAGAGCACAGTTTGATTTTTTGCCAGTTTTTTGAAATTTGTATAACTGGAAACACAGAGTAGACTTAGCCATACCTGATTGCTTTCCTTCAACCGTGTGTTTGTGAGAGTCCTTCCGATTGTCAGGTGAGCACTAGTTTCTTTTTATTGATGAGCAGTATTTTATTATATGACTTATCCATTCTTCTCCTGATGGACCTTCCGGTTGTTTCCAGTTTAGTCTGATTGCTGTTACTTGGAACATTCTTATGCATTTTCCTGTGTCTCCACTGAGCAGATACCTAGGCCAAAGGTGTACAAACCTTGAACTCTAGTAGACACTCACTAAATACTCCATAAAGCCATTATGCCAATTTCACTCCCAACATGTGTGAGCCATTCAGCGGCTCCTTATCTTCCATGCTGTGTGTTGTGATCTTTCCACCTTGAGCGGTTCTGGTCTGTGAGCGATGGTGGTCTATCATAATTTCAGACACATTTGTAAAGACTACATTTTCTCTGATTCAGCATCAAAGGTTTCTCCAAGTAGAAAGGACTCCACGATACTGAGTGAGGCTTATTGCAAAACTTAGAGTTGCCCCGAGTCTGGGCACTTAGTATACACCGCTCTAAACACAGAAGTGAAAAAGCATTTTTCCTGGGCCTGGTGCTCTCTCCAACAGTGGTCTCAAGAGGTTGGCTTGTGGGACACCCATGTGGGCCTTGCACACCCGTGTGCACCTGGGCATGGACGACAACCCTGCTGTGTGAACTTTTGCTGCCCTGTGACCACATCCCACTGTCCCTGTAGTCTGGTCATCCTGGCACTGTCAATCACTCACGGCTTCTGGGGACTGCTAATGGTCAGAGCTGACACTTTCTGGGCGTCTCTCTAAGCCTCTCTTTCTTCAACTGGAGAAAGTGCCTGGGCGAGAGATTGAGACGGGCACAGTGCCTGGCATGGGGTAGATGCTCAACCACCGGACTGTGGTAGTGAGGGGTCTGAGGTGGAAATCTTAAGGAGGTGCTGAGCCTGCACTTGCATGACCTTGAGACCAAGAGCCTCCTTAGACACCGCAGTGGGAACCTGATCTTGTCGTCCTCCGCCCAGCCCAGCTCAGCTTCCTACTGCTGCTGCTCTGCCTTCTCCTCCCGACCCCTGCTGACTCCTCTGGCCAGAGCTTTCCAGAGAGCTCATTCTGAACTCCACGGGGTGCTTAAAGCAATTTGCTGGACTTTATACACGACACCTCTAAAACATGAGATAGAACAGAATAGAACACATTCAAGTTCATCCTATGTAACTATTGATTCAGGAAACTAAGGCTTCAATTACATGTATGCACGTGCGTACTAGGGCACAGTGTAAAACGTATTTCTTCCTGGGGGTCACGGTAAAAAGGAGTTTTGTAAACTGCTGCTTTGTTAATGTATACCATCGATGGTCCCCAGAACGCTACTCACTTTCCCCTCCGTTCTCTTCATCCGCCAACTTACTCCAGTCCCCAGCTGAGGAGGACTCCAGCCTCTGAAACCTGCACCTGCCCCAAGCTGAAGTCAACTCCTGCTTTTTCTGTGTCCCTGTCAAGTCTCTCTCAAAGTGCTGCAGTGAGACGTGAACAGAGGAGCCACCCCACCTGCCTGGTCCAACCCCTGCTTCTTACCAGGTGCGTCACCTGGGGCAAGTTGTGTGTGCTCTGTGCCTCAGTTACCCTGTTTGTAAAGTAGGATGCTAACACTCCCCTGGCTGGACTGCTCTAAGGGCTAAATGAGCTAACAGATGAGGAGTGGCCATCCAGTGAGCTCTAGCCAGCGCTGGCCGTGGCTGGGTTCACAGCCCAGCCCTGGCACAGGGCTTGCTTCCTTGCCTTCTGATGATTGTCTGCCCTTGACTGCTGTCCTGGCCGGTGGCTGCCCTGCAAGGAGGTCGTGCATATGCTGGGGCTTGCAGCTCTGGTTCCAGCCGGGCCCTGCACACAGTCAGGACACAGTAGGGCCTCGAGGTTTGCCTCACGTCGGCCTCTCCAGCAGCGTCCACTGGCCACTTGTCCTTTGGGCCTCCATGAACCTTGATGGTGGTCACTGCCTGGAACTCTTGGCCATGAGCTCCTGGCAGGCTGAGGGACCGCCTGGGGGGTGAGGGTTAGGCAAAAACATAAAGCCCTGGTTCTCTGTTCCAGTGCTTGGTCACTAGTGACCGGGTCACGCTTATTGGAGAGATGGGGTGAATTACGGCAGAGTCGCAATGCAGGGAAGTGTAGGCAAGGGGCTGTCCCATCCTGGCATGCCCAGGAACTCCAAGAGAAAGGGCCAAGGCCAGCTAAACCATCCAGAGGGGTTGAGTTCCTCGCTGTGGGCTGTGGTGTCCCGTCCCCCTCCTGCCCTAAAAGCCTCCCTCATTTGCACCTTCAGGAGTGGATCTCCTGCCCGCCCTGGGCAGCTCATGCTCTGCTCAGAGGGAATGGCTCACTGTGGGCTCATCAGCTCCTATCAGCGGCCAATCTGGACTTGAGAAGACCTGCAGAGGCTCCTGATTTGATTAAGATGAACCAGACAAGGTGTGTGGGGTGTGAGTGTGGGCGTGGTGGATGGGTGATTGGGGAAGGTGGGAGAGGGTTGTGATGGGCCCGCTAAAACTCGGGTCTGCTGCCAGAACAGAGGGGAAGGCACGACTCCCCCCAGGGGCCAGGTAGGCAGCAGGGGATCAGCAGCTACAGATGAGCACACGCAGTGACACACACCAGAACAACACGTGCATAACACACACACCACATACGTCTATGCACTCACAGTCCAGACATGTAACCACACATGCAGACAAATACATGAACATAAGTAAACACATAAAATACATACAAACTTGTCTATGTATTTCTTTTAATGGCAAATATGAACTCTCAGAGACCAACAATTTAGAGCATATCAAGGAATAAAGACATTTTCCTCCTCCTCGAACTCCTGCTTTGCTTGGGAAAAGCCTTTAGAATGCTAAGATGGTCTCTTTTTGGCCTATTTCTGGCTGTCATCTGAGATCCATCCGTGCGGGGACTGGGATGTGTCCCAGAGCCAGCTACCCAGCTACAGCTTCACAAAGCACAGCAGAAGCTCTGCGATTCACTTGTGTGCTTCTCAGGGCCACTTGCCTCCTGGGCAGGGCAGTCTCTGGAAGCAGAGGAGGGAGGGAGGCGGAGGAAGACCGGCGACCCTCCAGTCCAGGGAGAGCCCTGGGTTCTTGCTTCTATTACCCAGTCACTAAAGCTTAGAGGAATACATGAGTGAATGAACCATTGCCAAGGCTTTGGAAGCCCACAGTGATCGGCTTGATTCCTTGCTCTGTATTTTGGATGAACTTGGGCAGGTCCCTTGGTCTTCATGAGCCTATGACCCATTATCTATAAAATGGCCATTATAATACTGCATTGTTTAAAGATGAAGCTGAAGGAAGCAAACCAAGAGACTCCAAAATTCAGTGACCCTCAAAAGATAGGTCTCTTTCCCTCCCATGGCTCAGTCCTAGGAGAGCATCGAGGTTGATGGGATGTTCTGTTCATGGTTCTGTTCAGGACCCAGACTCCTCCCATCTATGACTCTGCCTTCCCACAGGCCTTTTCTCCAGGGCATTGCAAGCCATGCTCACACAGGCAGGGGAAAAACAGAGATCAGAGTGAGCGTGTGCCTCTGCCCATTGATCTAAATGTAGTCACAAGGACAGGCGAGCTGCAAAGGAGCAGGGAAATGCAGTCCGGCTGGACGACAAGGTGCTCAGAAGCGGCGCTGTTTCGGTGGCAGCGAGGTGTGCTCTTGGTGGGTAGCTGGCTGTGTCCTCACTGTGGTCACACCAGGTGCCTGGGTGAGGACCTAGCCAGATGATGTGCATCAAGTGCAGAGCACAGGGCCCCGTGCGGTGTGCCCTGGAGAAACAGAGCTCAGTTAATAGTTTCAAAGGGATTCTTTCAGGATAAATCTTACAATAATGTGATCAGAGTGGACATCTTCCTGGTCCTATGGGTGGGGCAGGGTGGTATGGAACAAATAAAAAGTCCCAGGCACAAATGCTTGGCTGAGACTCACAGTTGAGGCCAAAGCTGCTTGCACGGTGGTCTGTTTAGATGCAGCTCGAGGTAGAATCTCGGGGAAGTGTGGTCTCTCCAGAAAGGTCCCTGGGGGAGGCCTGGGCAGGAGGATGGTGCAATGGAGGGAAGCTACTGAGATGAACACCAGGTGGCAACCAGTGACTGGGTTCTCATGCTGGTTGGTCGGTTCTGTTTGTATCTTCAGGACGAACGTTCAGGGGCGATGGGGCAAGCCAGTGGGCCATGTGGGCTCTTGTGCTATCTGGGCTGCGACCTGCCACGCCACTGGGCAGACCTCCTTCTCTTTCTGAGTTTTGTTTTTGTCTATGCACAAAATGGAGACCAAGATAATGAGAATGAGTGTGCGGTGAAGGCCGAGGCCCTGCAGATGTGAGGAATTAGGGTAATTAACTCAAAGTGGGGGAAATCCATCACGGCAGTCAGGTGTGTCCCCCAGACCCGCCGGGGCTCATGTGGTGGTGGGTGGGGCCCATGTGCCTGACCAAGGGAGCCGCCTTCCCTTCCCCGGGAGTGGCCCCTGAGCTGTCGGTGTGGATCAGCACTTCCCTTCTGCGAGCTGCTCCCTTTGTGTCACAAACTTGGCACAGTTCACGCCTCTGCTTCAACAGCTATTTTCTCTGGGTTTCATAAATCCTCTTTTACCCGGAGGAGACAGGAGCACTGCATTTTTTCCCACCTGGAAACCACCACGGCTCTAAGGCTGCTCGTTTCCCCGCTGAAGACGGGTTTGTGTGTCCACACCCCTGAGTTTTGCAGTGTCACCTTCATTCGAGGTAATTGGCATCAGAGATGAAGGCAAGCAGCAAGGGACAAAGAGGCCAGCGCCAGCGTCGGCCTGGCCGGGTTGCCCAGGAGTGACAGGCTTCTGGGGGGGCGTGGGGCTGAGCATGAACCCCAGGCCTGTCACTTTGCTTAGGTGTCCCTGCAGGGGGCTGAAAAAGTGCATCCCGGGAAGAGGGTGGGCACAAGGACAACTTTGTGACCTAACCACCTGTCTTTGGCTTGGCCAGGTCTCTAGGGCCCATCCTGTCAATGATGGCACACATTTTTGGGTCTCTGAAAATCTGCTTTGGAAGCTGTGGCCCACCCCTTCTGGGTTCCCCATCAGGTCCTGGGGTCTCCTGAATCTGGAGCTCCTGGGGTCTGCTGGTTCTTCTTTACTCTTTGTGTACAAGGACCTACTGCCCATTAAAACATTCAAAATATTTTTAATATCTGTTAACTATCTTAATTTGAAAAGACAAAATGATAAAAAGTTACTGTCAATTTAATAATACATGGCCACAGGCTGTATGTTATTCATCACAACATCTATGTAAATTGATTCTAAATATATACTAGGCAATTCACAGGAACTACAAATGGCCAATGATGCTTGAAAAGAAATCAATCTCACCAATAATCAGAGAACACAACTTAAACAACAAGAAGACATCATTTCATTTGTCAGGCAAACTTTAAGTCTGTTACTATCTAATAAAGGCCAAGGTGTGGGGAAATATTTACCTTTCTCTACTCTCTGTTCACAGGAGTATAAATGAACGCAGCCAGATGGCAGTGGTTATTAAAACCTAGTAAACACACAGTGTGTTAGAGTCTAGCCACCTCACTCTGATAGTCCCAGTATAGAAGGTGAGCCAGTCACTGAATCACTGGACAGAATAGCACAAACACTGGAAATAAGTGAGACGTCTGTCAGTGGAAGGATGTTTACACAAATAATGGAGTGTTCACACCCTGGAGTAATGTGCAGCCATATAAATTAGCAGATCGATATGTACCAACAGGGAAATTTCCAAGACAATTGTTGAGTCAATCAAATGCTCTCAGGTGGTGCCTTGTTTGGGCCTCCTCATTGTTGTGCTTGGAAATCCCTGGCTTGGTTGGGTGGAGTCCATGCCCCCCAGGCGCCACTTGGTGGCAATGACTGGTTCTGAGGAGGACACAGAAGCAAACCTGGGGACTTGAGACTCCTCTACTGTGAGCTCAAGGACTCCCTAGTGGCCGGGGAGGATGCTTTGGTCAGACTTCATGGTGGCCCCCTTCCTTTCCTGGTCTTCCCCAGCTCCTCTGTTCCCTCCCACTTTGCTCTCACATGGAACTTCCATTTGTCAGATGCTTGCACACCTAATTCAGCCTGTACGTCCACTTCTTGGAAGGCCTGACTTACGCACACTGGTGACGCAGTGGTTCTCAACCTTTGATGTACATGGGAGCTTCTGAGGGAACTTGAGGGAATACAGACTGCTGCCCAACCCTCCCTGGGTTTGTGACTGAGTAGGTTGTGGGGAGGGTCCTGGGAATTTGCATTTTAACAAACTTCCAGGTGAGTTGGATGGTGAAAGACCACAATTTGACTCTCTTTTTATGGATAACGCACAACTTTTAAAATATTTTTATGGGTTTGCCTATATACATAAATATTAAGAAATACATCTGGGAAGCGTCCCAGCAAAGTGGTAACAGTGTCTCCCTCTAGGGTTGTCATGGATGGAGATGAGCAAGTGAGTTTAAATCTGCGCTTTTCAACCCACTAGCTGTGGGGCATTAGGGAAGTTCTTAACCTCTCTGTGCCTCGGGTTTCCTACTTGTGAATATTGATAATAACAACGCCTGCCTCAAGGGTAGTCTGCAGGGGAACATAAATAATACTTGGAAAGTGTTAGAACCACATTTGGGACAATGTTTATGATTTTATTTGTTCTTAATGAAATGATAGCAAAGTAATCTTTAGCTCTGATTATTTTGCAACGAGAATTAGTAATGTGTTCATATGTAATTAGAACATTTATACAGGAAGAATAAGTTCTAATATTTTATTGGATAATAGGATGACTATGTGTAACAATATTGTATTAAATATTTCAAAATAGCTAGAAGAGAAAATTTTAAATGTTTTTACCACAAATAAATGATAAATGTCTAAGAAGAAGGATATGCTAATGACCCTGGTTTGAGTATCACAGTGGATACATGTATTGAAATTTCACACTGTACCCCATAAATATGTGCAATTAATACTTGTCAATAAAAAAGTAAAATTTTAAAGGTTTTAAGAAAAAGGAGAAATTAGTTGTGCCTACACGTGTGTTTGAGGCACACTCTATATTTAATCAATGTGCAGCAGTCAATGAACACAAGAAAACAGAGACTCCTTGCAAATATTTTTGCCTACCTTCCATCCCTCAGAAGCTCCCAAACTGATGAGTTGTGTACCTTTAAATAAGGCCCCCAACACTGCTTCATTGGGCAAGTTTTAAACAAAAATGTAACCCAGATATAAACCAAGCCCATGTGGCCCAGTGTCAAGCAAGGTCACTGTCAGAGAATCACAGTCCTTTACTAAAAACCAATTAAAAAGGAATTCCACACTTGACACATGTCATTTCAACAATGGTTCTTAAAATGTCCTTTTCTGTCCTTCCCCAAACCACTGTGGCTTTGGGGTTTCCCACACT